GTCGATGGTATACTTTCAGAAAACGCCAACCTGAACAAGGTAGCAGAAAGCATTTTCTTCAGCCTCCTGCCATATCCGGTCAGCCATCCAGTCCCGTTTTGCCAGCCCATAGAGAGTGCCCTCCATAACAACATCAGTTACACACTGGGTTAGTCATTCAAGTGAAGTTGTCTTGCCAAGACAATGGCCGGCTACTAACACCACACAACATTTCAGCGCTGGGTTGATGCTCCGGATTCTCTCAATGTGTGCAGCGTGTTGGATCAAGCACATTGCAGTGCTGCGTTGATGCTCCGCAGTCTTCCAATGTGTAGTGTGTTGGATCGAGCACATTGCAGCGCTGCGTTAACACTCCGGAGTCTCCCATTGCAGCGCTGGCTTGATGCTCCAGAGTCTTTCAATGTGTAGTGTGTTGGATCGAGCACATTGCAGTGCTGTGTTGATGTTCCACAGTCTTTAGATGTGTAGTGTGTTGGATCGGGCACAATGCAGCGCTGTGTTGATGTTCCACAGTCTTTTCGATGTGTAGTGTGTTGGATCGAGCACAATGCAGCGCTGGGTTAATGCTCCTGAGTCTCCCACTTTGCAGTGCGTTGCATGGATAGCTCAGCACTAGCGTTGACATGGATACTCGGCACAGTGCGACTAGTGTTGGCATGGATACTCAGTACTGCGAGATTAGCGCTGACATGGATACACGGTACTGTGAGACTGGTGTTGGCATGGATACTCGGCACAGTGAGACTAGCGTTGACATGGATACTCAGCACTGCGGGACTAGCGTTGACATGGATACACGGTACTGTGAGACTGGCGTTGGCATGGATACCCGGCACAGTGAGACCAGCGTTGACATGGATACACGGTACTGTGAGACTGGCGTTGGCATGGATACTCGGCATAGTGAAACTAGCGTTGACATGGATACTCAGTACTGTGAGACTAGCGTTGGCATGGATACTCGGCACAGTGAGACTAGCGCTGACATGGATCCTCGGCACAGCGAGACTAGCGTTGACATGGATACTCAGTACTGCGAGATTAGCGTTGACATGGATACTCGGCACTGTGAGACTGACGTTGGCATGGATACCCGGCACAGCGAGACTAGCGTTGACATGGATACTCGGCACTGTGACACTGGCGTTGGCATGGATACTCAGCGATGTGACTATGCAGTGTTGACAGTGCACGGAATAAACCAGCACAGAGACTCCAGTGCAGCTCATGCTCTGCAATGCTGCTTGTACTGCTTGTCCTATACCAGACAACCATATCGAACAGCCAATCGTGGAGACCAGCCGATTTTACTGCTCTGTCGATTGCAGTTGCCAGCCGATTGAACTGCGGTCTCTCGATTTTTATCAGCCGGTTGCACTGACAATCGAATAGTACTGACCAGCTGATTTAGCTGGCCAAGTTTCTGAGCTGAGCTGAGCAATTCAATTGCTCAGGCCAGTCGATTGCTCGGGCCAGTCGATTGCTCGGGCCAGTCAATTACACGGATCAGTCGATCGCACGGACCAGTCGATTGCACGGACCAGTCGATTGCACGGACCAATTGATTGAGCTGACCAACCGATTGTACCGCAAAGCCGATCATGAAACACAGCCAATTGTGATCACCAGCCGATTGAACTGATAGCAACCAGCCGATTGTACTGGCCAGTCAACTGCACCCTGCATTGACAACGACCAGCAGATGGTATCGCATAGCCGATTATTCCGTGCAGGCAACTGTACCGACAACGACCAACGGATTGCACTTGTTGTTTGTTTGTTGGTGTTTCTCTACACCCGCAATGACCAGCCGATTGTACTGGCCAGTCAACTGCAATGACAATGACCAGCGGACTACATAGACCAGCCGATTGTACCGCATAGCCGATTACACCTACCGGTATACTGGGCAGGCACGGGCGGCTGTCGGGCGCTCATCGGCCGATTGAGTTCGGCAGTTGAACATACTGTGCAGCCAATGGCAATCCGCAGGTGAACATACCATGCAACCAATTGCATCCTGCAGTCGAATATCTACTGAGATGCCCATAGTGTTGTGCAGTAGATTGTGCTCAGCCGTCTATTGCATTGTGCAGCATTGGCGAACCGACTGCATTGTCTACTTGAAACCACTGGCACTGAGCAGTCAATTGCATTGTTCAGCCGGTTGCACTGGGCACCTGATAGCGAATGGTGGGGCAATCATGACATCATGTCTGACGGCAAATACTAATAGTTTGCCGGTGTTCGCAGCCGCTGACTGCAATATTCAGCATACTAGGTTGCAGCGTGCACGCAGGCATACGCTGTTCTGGCGCAGGTCGGGAACACATCTCAGTGGCGTGCATGCGGCCGGCTGAAGCCTTGACGAGTCCACAACAGTACAGGAAGTTGTAGGCATTTTGTCAGCACTGGCGTTCACCGGTGAGAGGTTACGTAACAGTCAGCGCCAGGACAATGTTGCTGAACGTGGACTAATAAAGCTACATCGGCAGTTTCCAGTGCTAGGGTCGCAGTATCAGTACCGACATAGACGGTCAGATGCAGGCATTTTCTGTTCAGGTGCACGTCAGGAACACATCTCGGCGGCTTGCACATGGCCGGCTGAAGCCTTGGAGCGTCCGGAACAATACAGGAACGTGTGTCCATTCTGGTAGTACTGGACGCTGACCGGTGAGAGGTTACATAACCAGCCAGCACCGGGACAATGGTGCTGCACGGAGACTAACAGAGCTACGTCGGCAGTTTCAAGTGCTACGGTTACAGCATCAGTACCGACATGGACGATCGGACGAATGGCACACGAGGCACACGCCTGTTTCACAGACTGGTTCTCCGGTATGTAATATCACATCTACATTCGCACACATGATGGTCTCCCAAACCAAAGCTGCTCGGATGTCTTCAAGAGCGGGCAGCAACATGCTGTCAGCGGGAACGAGAAGGAAGCGTCCGAACTTGAAACCACTGTTACCGCACGTGGGGAAATGAGCATGCATGTACGTCGCAAGCATGAACACAATGTCCGCAGGCACGTACGCATTCAAGCACACAGGGTTCGGCCAGCAAAACGAGGTCACGGACAACCGAGACACAGCAGGAAACATATTTTACTGGACGGAGGCGGGGGGGGGGGGGGGGGGGGGGGAGGGGGGCACTACTGTCATAACGTGAAGAACGGCGAAACGAAGATCAAACAAGCTAGGTTTTTTCAACGTGCTGTAGACTTGTACTATACTGGCCACACAAAAACTGTAGCTAGTGACGGGACAGTTAGTTTATGGCAAGGCTCTGATCCCCCGTTCTTCACCCCCGATACAGTACTGCGGTTAATGAATGATTATGGTGATGAAATCATTTCCTGGCCACTCCGACGAATACGTCGTCTGGTCATAGGCAGTTGCCATTCTCTCGGAACACATATGCATGCATGCATACATACTCACACACACACACATAATCCACTCGTGGATGCACACGCATGCATATGCACACACCCACACCACACACACACATACACACACACACACACACACACACACACACACACACACACACACACACACACACACACATACCACACGCACACACACACACACACACACACACACACACACACACACACACACACACACACACACACACACACACACACACATACACACACACACACACACACACACACACACACACACACCGTGTGACCTTGTGACGCCCCATCGCCAGAGGCAATGATTGGCTTAATGAGCCAGGCAGAAATGCTGATGACGCTTGAGGTCGCCACTTCTGCGGAACGACCGTCAGCATGCGCAGCTGAACGGCTTGGCGGGTGGAGGAGCCAGAGGAGGGAGACGGTCACTGGAGATCTTCCGTCGCCAGGCTGGACGATCCTGTGCCATGGCCAACCAGTGTTGTTGAGGGATGTCCGCGGCATACAGGTCGTCAACAATCACATCCGGCCACCGCTTCTTCGGTCCATGGTGTGGTCGAGTCGGCAGCAACTCTCCGAAGAGAACATGCTCGAGCATCCACTCCGGGCTCATACGTGCAACGAGCTCAAGCCAGCGCAGACGATGCTCACGAAGCAGCACATTGATGTCGGCTGGCAGCCTCGCTCTGCGGGCAAGCTGGTTGCTGGTGAGGTGGTCCGATCGCTGAGTGGATCTGGACACGCCCAGTATAGCCCGGATCGAGGACCGGTGGAAGCGGATACGTGTAGCCTCAACAGCCCAGGTCTCTGCCCAGTAAAACAGCGTCGGCAGGACAACAGCCTTGTATACAGTTCTCTTGATGTGAAGAGATAAGCCACGGCACTGAAAGATGGGCTTCTGCAGCCTACCAAAACCAAACACGCGGGAAGCCTTGGCCAGTCTGGAGGTGACCTCCTAGTCCAAGGAGCCATGCGTGCTGAGGGTGCTGCCGAGATATGAAATCCTGGACGAGGTCGATATGATCGCCGTCACCAACAGGGACGGACGCCGGCGGGGGATGGTGGGGATTCACTGCCATTGCCTTGATCTTCTGGATGCTGACCGTCAACCCCCACTGCGAAGCACATTCAATGAACTCGTTCGCAATGGTCTCGAGAAAGGGGAGCGACGTGGTGTACAAAGCTGCATCGTCGGCGAACTGCGATTCTGTTTGGCAGGCTGAGCTGAGTCGGGACTTGGCTGTTCTGTCGCCCACCAACTTGCGGCCGACACGATACCGGATGTCAACGCCAGGACCTGAAAATGCTGTGCTGAAAGACTCAGTCTGTGCACCCGGTAGCCGAACACAAGCGGTCATGCCATCGTGCAGGGACTGAATAAGCCCAAGCAAAGTTGGCGGTACCCGAGCACACACACACATACACACACACACACATACACACACACACACACACACACACACACACACACACACACACACACATACACACTCACACACGCACACCGAAACACACACCAACCTAGACTCTCAAAACTTACTCCAGCCAGCATAGCAGCAGGATCACTCACCATTTCCTTGGCCTTCAGAAATGCCTTCCGTAGTTAGAGGAGATAAAATTGATTCCAATTGCTTTCTTCTTGGATCGAAATTCGGACCAAGATCTTGCAGGATATCCAGAAACTTCTTGAATGAATCCATTCCCCCCGGCTTGAGTGTCGTGATTATCAAATGTTCATTGTGCTCCATAGGGCTTTGCTTCTGCTTAGCACGTAGCTGCTGTAAGGTTGCAGAGGTCAGTAGTCCTTTGGAGTAGGCCAAGGACCGTATCTCCTGCGGATCAAGGTTGCATATCCACCATGAGTATGCCCGAATAAATATCGGGTGAGTCCACGGATCTGTTGGCAATGGAGCGTGCGTTCGGTAGGTGCATGTGCACACACGCACACACACACCATACGCACACACACACACACACACACACACACACACACACACACACACACACACACGCACGCACGCACGCACGCACCCACACGCACGCACACACACACACACACATGCCCATACATGCACACACATGCACGCGCACAAACGAACGTGCACATACACACCCGCACAAACGCATACACACACACACATACACACACATACACACACACACACACATACACACACAAACACACATACACATAGGGGAGAAACGTGACTCAGTCAACTGTGAAAAAGAAAAACCTCATTCAATGCGGTAGCACCATTGAAGCCCATGACGACTAATAAATATATAATCTACGATAAGGCCGTCATCAGCAGCATCCGTCTCCCGCTATGCACTGCAAATCTAGACTCCGCCAAGAAAATGTCACGGAAGATGTGAAGCTCATCAGTTCGAGAGCCCAGAAAATGTCACAAAATGCTGTGCATGAAGTTCACACTTGCACGTTTTAGGAAGCCAAGCGATTTGAAGTGGTGAAATCACTTACTGGCATATTGAGACGTCATTGACTCTGTAGGTAAGAAGAGAGCGAAAAGAGCAACACAAACATAATTATTATACTGAATGAGATGTTTTTTTGCACGGGTGAAGAGCCAAGGATAAATTTATAAGAAGAAGAGAGGACCAAGAGCTACGCAGGAGCTGGTTGTAAAGTGACTGGTGGTACTGGTGGATACTACGGCGTAACGTGTAGCTTTTGGTCCTCTTCTTTTCATATAGACTGTTTTAGGTTACGGATTACTGAATCGTACAAACATGCAAAGAAAAAAACAATCACTGTTGCGTACGATTGTTTTCAGTTCCACTGCATGTTTGTGGTATGCACGGTCAGCCACTCTCAACTACTGCAAACTCAGAACTGCCACTATCCAACAGTACCGCCAACTTATGGCTGCTGAAAGCCACGGACAACACAACACACATGGAACATTCAGCTAAGCACATGGCATTGTGTAGGTCGCAACACAGTTGCATCCAGGCGATAGGTAATACAACAGGCAAGGCTACATTGCAGGTACATGTATGTTTGCAGGCACAGGGCAACAGGCGATAGTATAGTCACAGCTACATTACAGGCAACAAGTACAGGAGACCCTGGGCATAGATATAGGGAACAGTACAAACATGTATGGTCGAGCGGCCATGAGGTGTAACGCAACAACACCATCACAGTAAACTTGTGTACAGGGGAACACAGGAATGTTATCATGCATCATGAGAACAAACATGCCAGCTTGTCGACAGGTGTCAGCTCATTATCAATGCCCAGGGGAAATCCCCATGACAAACTGCAGGCAAGGATAACTGGTAATTCCCCCTGTGTTGGTGAGTATTCAAGCCAGTTTGCATGCAAATCATTTAGCATTCCATTGACCCGCTACAAAATCCACAATGAACCATGGCTCCCAACTACAGTACTATGTGCTTATGCTGATGTCCACGTTATGTCAACTGCTGAGAATGCATGCATTTCCGTGCATTCAAACTCAATAAATAATCGGGCCGGCCTGCAAGTCTCGCTTCCTTTCCTCAAAGCGAGAAGTAACAAGATGAGAGAGAAACAAAGTGTCGTCCTCGAAAGTGTTGACCAAACACACTCGGAAAGTCGGCGTGTGATGTCCGAAATCATACCCCCTGCGATATCTTCAAAGGAAATGTCGGCCACTCCACGGTATAACCTTGCGTGAGGACAGGCATCCGAGTTCAAAGCGCTCAATCGAACACGGTGATAGCATTTACTCAACGCAGCTGCTCAGTGAAAACGCGAAGTGATACAATTTCCAAACCGCCCAAATACCAATATTGGAGGGAGAAATTGTGAACAGCGGTCTGTTTCCAATAGTCATCATGGAGAACAAATTGTCGTACCTCCCTCTTGTTGCGTACGACTCTGATTGATTTTATTCTAACAATTGTTAGGCAACTGCAAAAAATCTAAATAACCAGCACACGTAGCATTACAGAGTACCACTGCATCGAGTGAGTGCCGGCCCCTAATAACATAAATTCTCCGGTTCGGGGGGGGGGGGAGGTCAGAGTCTGACTGAGAGTGACTCTTTCTGCATTCACAGTAACATCACCAACTCCTTAGGGACCAAGTGCTAAAAAATTAAATCACAGTTCGTGTCAGACTAGTTAGGCTGAGTTTCGGCACCCGTAGGAACGCCACCACCCACATGGGTCAAGGAGCAAGGCAAGGGTGAAAAAGACTGAGTGCCGAAGAATTTTCTAAAGAGTTCCCACGATTTCTTTAAAAAAAAACATCTTAACTTTCAGCAAACAAAGTCCACTACCGTACACACGCACCGAGCGTGAAGTCTCGATCTGGTCTAAGACAGATCAGCAAACACCACGAACACTGCGTGCACAGTGTGCACACGATACGAGTCTTGCAACTCAAAATCAGGCTACACGAGGTTAGAGTTATCAGACCGCGTGCCCTTTGGAGCCGACCATCATTTCAGCCACAAGGAATAGTGTCTGGATGCCATGTACAATACTACTTCACGTTGAGTGGACTTCGTCAAAAGACGCCAGCACCCGGAATAACATCGTCAACGGCCAGCAAAAGAGAGCAACAGTCATATTCTACTAACAGCAGTACTAACGGCGATTCACAATACTAGTACAACTTCTTGCGACGCGACATGCGGCACCTGCGACGAGCTGCGACAGCGACACACGGTTCACAATCGTTTTCACGCTTGCGACATCCTTATGCACTGGTAGTACTATGCATGTCCACTGCGCGTGCACCCAGGGTAGAAACTGTACTCCATGTGCGCTTGTCGCGTGTCACATGTCGCAAAAGTTGAACTTTCTTCGACTGCTGCGACAGGTGCCTTGCGACTGTACGCGACAGGTTGCGACGAGCAGTTTCTTGTCGCAACTATCGCAAATCGCATGTCACGCCGCAGTTGTATTGTGAATCGGCCTTTACCAATAAGACACAAGAGGCTGCATTGAAAAAAAATTCGAGCTGCATCACAGGGATTTTCCCAATCACCAACAATAACATTCTCTTTGCGGTGATACGATGTGCGCTCACACGAGCATAACAGCAGTACAATTAAAATGCCCAACACCTGAGCTGAGAGCAACACTTGTTTCACTACTTCACCTGGCAGGTATCACTGCCAGGCATGTACGCGTGTATCTCAGTTGTTTTCCCCGGGTACAGTATCCCCCAGCCACACAGCGGAACTGTAATGTTCACCAGGCTGCCGCCTACAGCTACGGTTGTACAGAGCATAGGGCAACGACCGGCCAGCACTGCAGCAGCATTCTCCCGCCCGGTCAGTAGTGCCGTAGTGCCTACTAGTGGCCGCTATCACGACTAGAAGTAGAACTAGTAGTAGTACTAGTAGTACTGTCTTTCCCGAGCAACCTATCGCTCAAACAGCCCCATAGACTGCACTGACACGAATGGGCTATGAAATCGAGCTACTTACGGGAGCGCCTGTGCTTGGCACGAACGTCCAGGAGCACAAGGCAATCAACTGCCTTAGGCTTTGTGCTCTTGCTCTTTTCTAGCGATGGATATTCCGTTCCGCTCGAAGAAGAGGGGGCGCTGTCTAGTAAATCGATGGCGATTTTCCTGGTAGCGGAACAAGCCGATCTGAAGGGACTACCAGCAGTAGCTAGAGTTCGCCCGTCGCTTGAGCAACAGCCGATATTGGTATCAGGAATCTCCTATTATGCAATAATCGGATGCATTATTTTGTTTGCGCTTTTGAATGGACCATTGATTTGTACAAAAATTAATTAGTAGAAACAGTTTTTTGCTATCACGACTAGACTTTTTTTACTACAACTAATAATTACTTGAATTGACTGTACAACATAACGGAGGATTAGCAAGACGAAATTCGCGTTCGCGTTCGCACTCCAAGGAAAGTCGAACTCGGTGACGGAATTCGCGTTATGAGAAGGATTAGCAAACAGAATTCGCACATGCATGACGTTGGCACGATGTACAGGTACAGCGTGGTAAATTTATGACTGCTCTGACACGAATCCGCGATTCGTGTTCCGACTACTTTTCCGAACGAAAACTGCGAAAGTTCGCAATCCAGTTCGCGACCTGAAAAATGTTGCGAACGCGAACACGAATTTCGTCTTGCTAATCCTCCGTATAAAAAACGCTCTGCATACCCTAGGATAGATAGACGCTGCGCTAGCGCCGGCAGAGATTACTAAAACGTCTTCCGTAAAAAATACTGTACCAGAAATAAATTGTCAAAGACTGACAACGAACGATTGCTGTGTGGTGTTAGTGTAACATTGTACTTTGTCTTCAACGCTTTCTTTCCCTCTACTACTAGGCTGAAGAGAGAGCTAGTTAGGTTCAGTTCTGAGATGAGATCATTCGTAATACTAATAGTAATACTGTAATAGTATTCAGCCTTTTCTTGGAGCTGCTTGTTGGAAATCACGCCTAACAATCGAAGGTGCCAATGAGTCATTCGTTGGTGAATAGCAATAGTGTTTGAATGCTTTCTTGTCCGTCCACGAGGTTTATCACTGGCAACATGCAAAGGCACTAACTCGTGACCACGCGATCTGAGCACATGTCCCGCAACAGTCGAGTACAAAATGCGGAGGACGCGTTGACGGGGAACTTTACTTCGAACAATCGAGTTCTACAAGAGGGGAGTGCAACTACCGGTAAAACAAAGGCAAAGGTGAAAGTTCATAGTAGATCTACCCCGCGATCGCACATCACTACTACCACAATGCACTAGTCAATGAATACTGGTATATCGTCAGGTGTGCATCAATGCCATCATGACATCAGATCACGAGCCAGCAGTGATCTGTGCGCACAGATGTCGACACGAGAATGGCCAGATAATCACCCGACATCCACCTCTCTCTCTGCTCGCTCCTCGACTCCTATCTAGCTTTCTAAGGCTGGGCGCTAGCGAGGTGCTTAGTACCTGAATAGGCTGAAAGCTGTTGTGACAGCAGTGGTTCGCATTTTCTCAACGTTAATCATTCTTACCGTAGCTTCATTTGGCTCACAGCTCTTTGTTCTGTCGTGTTAGCGGGGATGCCAGCATCAACCTTTCCGCGCACACGCATTCCCGACGACAGCTAGCGTCCTGAGAGGCTTTATGACCTTTCTCACTTTGTCTCAAATGGAATTTGTGTGTGTCGACGTCTAGTCTGTTCCAGAGAGAAGACAGGCTTCTCTGCCGTTGAGTCAGAAGCTTATCGACCCGCGTTTCTCTGTTTTGAATTAGTTACTGTACGTGTACATGTGGCTTTGTGGTTGCTTTGAATGCGATGCAGCTGTGGACGGCAATGCATATTCTACTCAACTGAGTCTGCACAACTGTTACGCATTGGAGCGAGTGGTGCGTTGGCGGCACGGAGCCGTAACTTCGTTGCTCAGTATCAGCAGGCTCGCCAACTGCATAGCATTCGTCTCTAGTTGTTTACTTGGCAGTCGCCACTCCGATCACTGCCACACTGGACTATGCATTGGTCCAGACTCGGCCAGAGTAT